TTCCTTGCACCGTCCCTCGACAACTGGGGCTGGTTTTTTGCAACTGAACCGTGTTTCTTCGGCGTGTTGCTCTGCTTGTGGAGAAGCTTGTTACATGTGTGCGGGGCGGCTCCCGACGCCGTTTTCGGCCAACACTGTCTGTGCGGGTCGGATCCTCTGCTGTCGGCGATATAGTGGTGTGGCGCTAGTCAGTGGATAGCAATGTCATACATCGTTATGATCGGAAAAGGCCGACGAATCAAAAATGTGCCGATCGGCTTTGCCCGGTCTCTCCGCATTTACGGACCGGGCGTCTCAGAATGACCGGAAACGGCCGCGGGCGGTTGAGCTACCCACTGCGTCTGCCCAAATCTCACATCAGCACGTTGACAAATCCAAGCAGTGATCATAGCCCCCGTGGCGCAATTGGATCGCGCGTAGGACTTCTAATCCTGAGGTTGTGGGTTCGAGTCCCGCCGGTTGTTAATCTGGCTGATTTTGGACACTGAGACAATAAATAGCAACACGGAACGGTGGGGAGAATGCTTCTCCGAGTTGTTGTAAGTACAAGGCCAGTATGGAGCTCCCTTGGATTGAGCGCAACAGACACCAAGTCGTTCGTCGCACTCCCCACACTTACGGCGGTTCAAATCCCACTCCTGCCAAGAAGTCGGGCGCAAGAGCTTAGCTTAGGGGTAGGGCGTTCGCTTTGTAAGAGGAAGGTCGCCGTTCCGATTCCGGCAGAAGGCTTGATTCCGTCACCCATTGAGATCTAACCGTCTTCAGTCTGTGGAGTGGCCTTAGGTTGTGCGCCGATAGGCATCGGCCTTCTTAGCCTTAGGGTAGAGCATTCGCTTAGCAAAAGGCTGCCAGACCGATCCCGGCGGAAGGCTCCCTTGCGTCACACCCTTGATATTTGGGGCTGGTGTTTTACGTGTGTTCGACACACGAAGTGGCCTCAGGTTGTGCAACGGCGGTCACCAGCCTTCTTGGATACGGGGCAGAGCATTCACTTAGTAAGCAAAAGATCGCCGGTCCGATTCCGGCAGGAGGCTTCCTTGCACCGTCCCTCGACAACTGGGGTTGGTGTTTTGCAACTGAACCGTGTTTCTTCGGCGTGTTGCTCTGCTTGTGGAGAAGTTTGTTACATGTGTGCAGGGCGGCTCCCGACGCCGTTTTCGGCCAACACTGTCTGTGCGGGTCGGGTCCTCTGCTGTCGGCGATATAGTGGTGTGGCGCTAGTCAGTGGATAGCAATGTCATGCATCGTTATGATCGGAAAAGGCCGACGAATCAAAAATGTGCC